TAATAATAATAATAATAATAATAATAATAATAATAATAATAATAATAATAACAACAACAACAACATTTATGTTACAAAATACAAGACGTGTGCAAAAACTATACCTTTCTACCTAGTTTTGATTGACTCAAGAAAAGTTAAGACATTTTGCACTTCAGATTCAAAATGATTTTTAATACTCTTGTACCTACAAACAATTTGACGAATTAGCGTCCCTTTTTATTGTAATATTTTATATAGGCAAAACACAGATATAAGGCAACCATATTTACAAATTGAATAACAATGTTGGAATACTACGAATTGTCATGTTGGCTTTGGCCCACAACTGAAGACAGAGAAAAACAAGAATGAAGAATAATTGCCTTTAAAGGGAAATGGTGGGGTACTAATGTTTTCAATTTTTGTTGTTGTGATGTCCTAACTTCCTTAATAAGATAGCATCGTAGCCTCGAGTTTTGGTTCTTTGGATCTAAAGATGAAAATCCTGAATTTTGCATCCCCTAAAATAATTCATGTTAAGTTCAAGAAGTGGGACCGCATAAATTGTGTGAACAAAGAGCAGGAAGTTTTTTCATTGTATTGTTAAGGAGGAATAACTTCTCATCATATTACAATAAATTGAACATATTATTAGATTTATTTCACCTTAGCATCCATCCACAATATCTATATAAAATTAGATTTACTTTTGATCATGCGTGAATCATCCCATCCATCCTTTTGAAGAGAGATTTGATTTCAAACCCCAATTTAAACTTGTTAACATGGGGGCATGCAACTCTGCTCTATTCCAATAACTTCATGGTGACACCTCACACATGAACGCCACTTTTAATTCTTGCGAAACATTCTAAGCATAAGCATGTAGCATATATTAAACATGAAAACACCTTTAAATGTCATCACAAGGTCGAGACACTTTGATTAAATATTAAATGGGATATTATTTTATTTAGTTTCCAATTTTGACTGTGCTGAGTTCAGATGACAACGGTGCTCGTGTTTTCAATCACAAATACCAAAATTTGGCTACTTTATCCCCATGAATGTCAACCTTTGCCAAACCAAATCAAATCAAATCAAACCATAAATACTGGTTCTATATTTATTCAAATAAAACGCTTGGCCAATTTCTTAGTCTTAACCAAAAATATCGTTTCTTGTTTCAAGCTTCGTTCTACAGGGTCCTTCTCTTCCCCCTAATTCATTCCATTTGAAGTGGGCATGTGATACAGGAAAATATAGGAATACTCTGCTGTATACGGTTCTGATCAAAACATAATAATTCAATCAATAAGTACAACCAGTTCACATAGATTAAAAAGCACCAAATAAGGAGGTAGAAACATGAACCAAATTATGATCCAATCCAGGACAGGAAAACATCTTAGAGAACAAAAGCCTTTAATCCTTTCAAGGGCCTGTATTTACCGGCTTTTGGAAGACCCTAACGACCGGCATTCCATCAGCTTCACCATCTCTTACCCTCCATGATCGATCTTTCTTTCTCTGTGGCTTCTTGTGTTGTTTATGGGGTGCACTGGCGGATTTCTTCTGAACTGGGGCCTTGTGAGAGGCTAACCCATTATCCATGTCAAATGAATTCAAATCATCCAATACATGCTCTAGACTAGGTGCACCTTCATGTTCATCATATGGAAGTACTTCACCATCAGATGAATCTGAGTCAAGCACCTCTGAGGAGCTGGGTCCCACAGCATCCTCTATATGATGTTCTTCATTAGACACGTCTGGGGGCATTTCAAAGTGAGGAAGTTTCCCATCAATGTAATCCTTCAAAATTTGGCGTGCTGCTCGAGTTTCATCCGGCAGTCCACTAGCAGCAACATATCCACGAGATGCACAGTATGACCTCAAAACTTCAGCAGCCCAGGGAGGCCGGGATTGTGGCTCATATGGCTTTGGTTTTGGTAAAGTGATTTTGTAAACCTTTTCAATGACTGACCTAGGTACTCGATCTGCCACAACCTGTACAGCTTCCCTGTGCTCAGTCATCCGATCAATGGGCAAAACCCCAGAAGCAATCATCTCATATCTCGAGCTTGTGAAGGATGGAAACACTAATCCCGGGCAATCACAGAGAGTTAGTTTATCAGATATTATTAATGTCTGGAAATGCTTCGTCTTCCCAGGAGTCGACGTAACGCCTGTCCTCTTCTCCCCTACCAAAGCATTAATGGTTGAACTTTTTCCCACATTGGGATACCCAACAAACCCAACTACCACACTGTTCGAGGCTCCGATATCAGATCTTGATCCATTCTTCATAGAAACTATCTCCTCCGCTTCAGATTGCAGGCGGGCCAGAAGATCATCCCTGCCATATATTTTAGTATCAGTATCAACTGACTCGTGCGGATTACTTTGCATCCCATTGGAGTAACCGAGTGTTTTCCCCTCCAGAGCAGCAGAAGCAGCCTTAGCCGACCAGAAAAGAAAGAGAATTCCATGTTTGCGGAAATAGTCTGACCATTTTTCTCTGTCAGGACCAAGCATAAAATTTATCATGATGTTTAAAAATAAGAAATGCTGAAAGGCAATAGAAAAGGCCACATTCCAATATTAACCTAATAGAAAATGGTAGAAGATCTGCCTTGTTGACAAGAAGCAGAGTCCTTCTGTGTTCATCAATTTCTTTTGCATATACCTGGATTTGGATAAAGTCAATGCAATAATTAAAAATACTCAACATTTAAAGACTGATCATGGATTAGGTATATTCACAAGAATGACGAATTCACTTATAGAGCCCTTTCTAAATTGTATTACTCCAAGAGTCAAATGCTGGTAATTATTATAATTCTTTGAACAAAACTGAAGGTGCTGTACAGTGAAAATCAAGATAATATGATATAATATGATCTCATCCTCCTAAATTAGACGTGAAATGGAGATGTCCCATGCCTGATATTCGTCTGTATACCACTATTACATCCTATGCAATTTTTTAGAAAAATATCTCCAGTATTACCTCAAGATCAGGGCAGCGGTAGAAAAGCGGGTTTCGTGCATCAACGACCATTACAAGCTGTTTGGAGATAGAGAGATATAGATCAGCATTACATATATAAACAACATAGTATGAAATGCAACCCAAAGGAAAGGAGGATCAATAATATTGCCAGTTCAAAGCAACAACCCCAAGCAAGTAGTATGGTCTGAATTACCAGTCACGGAAAACCGATATGATATCATTTTAATGGTGTGCAGCATCGTTGGGAAAGCCAATATTTAGAAAGGATACTGATGTTCAATAAAAACTATAAAGATGAATTAACTAGTCGGCGGTGTCTTGAAAATATGAAATCCTTCCCTTCTTGAAGCCATTGGCAAGACTACACGGAGCTACAAGTTAACTGTTATAACAGGTTCATAATGCAGCGTAAGGTGGTCAACTATGCTTTTCTCAGATATCAATTATATGGATTTAAAATTCAAAATGCAGAACAAATCATCAGCAATTGATCGTGTCACTTAGAAATTTTGCTTTAACAGAGAGCACCTCCAGAAGAAATTACTGTCAAATAAAGTACAGAATACCATAATAAATGAAACCAATCCTGGTATTACCAGCTGATAAATTCCATGGATTTGGAATTTCTTAAAGTATATTATAAGTTCAAATGTTCTTCTAAATGCGTAAAGGTTCCCTGCAACCATCAATGAATCATGCCGACAGTATGACATACCATATGAGAACAAAACAAAGAAAGCTGAAAGCTCAATGAGAATTCAGCATCAAGGGAAACCCCAGATTGATATAAACAAATGCCAATCACCATTAATTTCCAAACATATGTGAGAAGACTTCTTGCCTATCTGGTTAATTGAATTATTTCTGCTACGAACGAGAAACTTATTGCCAAAATATGCATCACAAGACATAGGCATCAAATGGGTTAATCCAACAATAACAGCTTCTAGGATAGTGCAAAAGAATTGACACATCAGGGTTGAATGCAAACTGGGGGGAAAATTCCTCAGAAGTTTCCACACAGTTTATTAAAAAAACAAAATAATAAAACTTTAGCAAGTAGAATTGAGTAGGACATCCATTGAAGGAAGGTTTCCATTTTCAAAAAGGAAGTTTCAAAAAATTTAATATTTTGCATAATATGTTGTTTGCAGTACAAAGTCAACATAGAGGTGAGATATTTTTTAATATTTTCCTTGTTGATATAAGACAACTTAGTAAGACTTCTTTTCTCAGATTGGTAATAATTTCCCCGATATAGTTTGACACACCACGAAAAATCCCTTCTCAGAAACATTACATATAATCAAATTTCAGAAGCAAGTCAAGAATATTTCACAGGGTTCCAGTCACTATCAACAGTGGTCATTGAGATCTTTCCCATATGCCCTCGGAAAATGGTAAACAAAACCATATGAAAATGCAAAGATGAAAGCCGAGTAAGCAGTAACATGACAACAAATTTTCAGTATTCTAGATACTAAATTAAATCTTCCAACTCAAAAACAAAAAAATCTACTCAATAACTCCGTAGTCACCCAAGTATTTGAACATAATTTAAGTAAACAACAGTCTGTTAGTTAAACTTTTCGTCATCTTAAAACAAAAATGAAAACTATGAAACCACAATATGCTAACTTACCCCGCTAACAGTGTATATCAAGACAATTTAATTAGTAGATAACTTGGAGAAATCATTATCTCACCAGATCACTGCGTTCAACCACTCTCCAAAGCTGTCTCCATATATCTAGATTCTTTTCAAATGGAGTAAGGACCAACTTCTCGTTCTCCTCAAGCCTACAATGATAAACACAAAGTGTCTATAGTTAAATGAGAAATAAAAACAAAAAAGATTACCACATTACACAAAAAAATATATAGAAACATCTTAGATAAAGACCGCAAAATCATTAGAAGCACAAAGCATCAAATCACCAAACAAATTGTGTATGTATAAAATAGATGCAAGCATCTTATCTAGCTTCAAGTAACTATTCTACCAATTTATGATATACATCTCCCATTTTTCATCCTGCATAACACAGGTAGCACCCTAATTAAACAAAGATAAATTATATGCTTGTTCCAATAAAAAGAAAGAAAAAAATCATATACGTGACAAAATTACCAAAGCACACAAATACAATCGTGATTTTATTCCATAAATCCTGATAATTTATGTCATTGAGCCTGACCTAGCAAGGCTTCGGCGCCAAGATAGAAAAGCTTCTCTTTCATTGGCATCAAGCTCTTCGACAGACATTTTAGCATTCCATGGTGGCCTGGAAAAGAAGTTGATTTAGGAACCTTATATTCAACAACGAATAGTTAAAATAATATCCAATGAAGAAAAAATATATGCCTGCGAGGAACACGAAGACTACTAGCATGAAGTGCCTCCTCATTCTTCTGTTGCTCCCTTCTCTCCTCGGGAGTCATCTGACTAGTGCCAGAAGCAGAGTCCCTATTCCCATATTAGCACAATAAATTTTTAATTGAAAAGAAGACAACATTAATTTTTTTTCACAATAATACGTATAAAAAATAAAAAAAGCCAATGAAAAAACGCATGCAAACATGCAGACTAAGAATATCGAAGCACTGAAGAATTATAAAACTTCTAGTAGATGGCAACCATTTGTACCAACTAACTAGATATTCTCAAGCAAATGACTCAAAAAGAACAAAATATGCCCGAATTCTCTATTTATAATTCATGAACTCCATGACGAGATAAATGACTTTCCCAGACACTAAAATAAAAGCTAAATATAGTTCTTTGTCGTGTATTTGTCTGTATGAGTGTGCACTTATGTGTGAAGAATAAAAAAAAAAAAAAAGTAGCTCATATGTTTATAACTTCATTTCACTCTTTTAGCTACTCCTCTCTTGATTCGACACAAACCATACGGATAAAAGCTCTATCTTTTCCAATTCCTTTGTTTATATTTTAAGCTTCTCAGTTCACACTGAAAGTTAATTCCTTGATGATAATGAGGAAATTCATCTACTGTACATACGCATTCACGAAACACTTATGAGCACACAAAATGGCCTAACTATGCACCGCTCCAAGCATGGTAGTCGGTAGACCTCCTTTAACTAAAGCTAAACCAATGCACAAAACAGCACGAATGCATACCCTACTATAATCACAGGCAAACAGTTTAACATAAACTGGGTACAAATTTCTAAATAAAAACAATAACCATACAAACAATCAGAATGAATAAATGGTTAGAGCTCACAAATTGATGAGGTTGGCTAGAGGGTTGGTGTCGGAAAAGAGACGGTGGGCTTCGTCGACTTGCTCGATTACGGCGTCGATGTCGCTGACCTCTGTCACAGACTCCAGCACCTTCTTGTGCTGGCTCCTGTAGTGTTTTCCCTTCTCTTTTGAATCCTTAACCATTTGGTTGTGGTGCTTCACCAAAGCCCTACCTACGCCACTTTTATCACCTTTCCCCATTATGATTAATTACTGTTGCTCTTTCTTTTCTTTTTTTTCCTGCTTCCTCTGCAGTTTAATTTATAACAAATGCAAGAGCAAAATAATAGCACAGAGATCAATAATCTCTCTCTCTCTCTCTCTCTCTATTTATGTGTGTGTGTACGCATGTATATGACACGTTCCGATGGCGGTGAAGACCGGAGAGGAGGCGGGCGTGTAGAAATTCGCAATTGCTTGCGCAGGTGGTTCCATGAAATTTGCCCCAATTTCAACTAAAATCGTACACAGCAAATTTGGGGTATTTTTATAAAAGGCCTAAGCAACTCATTCAAAACATTTTTTGGCCTTACTTTACTAAAAGTTTTTGAGGCCCTTTTTAAGTTAAAATATTCAAATTATTCTTGTACATATTGTTGAAATATTCTAAATGCCCTTAATATATAATGACTACAATGCCCATTTTTCAAATTATAACCGTTTTCAAATAACTCTGATCGTTTTAAATGACTGTAATCATTTTAAACTATTGTAGTCGTTTAATCGTTTAAAACGACCATAGAAACTATTGCAATCATTTTAGATTACTTTAAAAACAACACCATAAAATTTATAGTTAACTTGGATTAAAAAAAATTGTACTTGTGGATGGTTTCAATTAGAACATTTACTGTCCGAGCATGTAGTAGCTGCGACGAAGAAGAGTGGCTATTCAATTTACTTGTTCTGCTATCTGTATTATACTATTGAAGATTAAGAGTAATTTACTGTTTTTCCTGTGCCAAATGAAGTTGATTGAGAAGTTCCTAAAAATTTTGGTTTCCTCAATGTGTTACTGTCGTCAGTACGACGACGAGGTGGACGTACTAAAATAACAAGAATTTAAAATAAACAAATGTAGTAGGTGTACTGCAAATGGGCACAACCGACTAACATGTATAGGTCAAATACCATTAGTTGATAGAAGATTGTAAGATTAGCATATTGTTTGTTTAGTTAATAGCATGTCGTTTAGATGACAATGCAAAACCGATTTCTACTTAAACATTGTTAGTGGAGCACGATGAATTATATGCAATGAAGTTCGTCTTTTTATTCATCTGAAATTAATTAGTCGAAACCAAACATGATTTATAATATTAGAAGTTTGATTCTCACCTCATCTTGCATTATACATTATTGTAAGTTGCATACTTATAATCTAAATACGGCATATTTGAATATTGTTAGCAGAGCACGATGAAATTTTTTTTATTCTTTTTAACTAATCCAAATCAACTGTAAATCGTATACGTGAAAATCCAATACAATATATACTTGAACAATGTGTAAGGAGTACAATGAACTATATATAATGAAATTTATCTACATTTCCAAACAAAATAAATTGTAAACAACTAGAGTTTTTTCAAACAACTCAAGTTCTTTAGAAAAACGATTAAAGTCATTTAAAAAGACTACAAAACGACTATAGTCGTTTAAAAAGACTATAAAGTCGCTCTTTTAAGAAAAGACCGGTGTCTTTTAAATGACTCCCGTCATTTAGGAAAAAGATAGCAATCATTTTCCTTAAACAATTACAGTAAACAACTAACATTTTTTAAAAAATTCGACATTATATCTATTGTAATATAAACTAAATCAACCTGAAAAATAAATTACTATTCATAACACCAAAAAAAAAAAATCACATTCAACATATACTATAAAATTATATTTACACTCATAACTCATAAAACATACAAATACATCAAAAGTTCCTAGGGCTCATAATCAAGGCAAAAATTTCGACAGCTATCTTTTCTCTCCATGATGGAATAACCTCGAACGCCTATAACTAAAAGAACATTTATAAATTATTTGCAAATATTTAAAATCAAACAAAGATGACGTTTAAGTCACAAGTTATTGTCATTTACTTGTATCGCTAGTAGAAATCTCCATAAAGAATATTTAGGCTTTGGATTCTTTGACACTCTGAGGAAAGCGTGTATTGTAAACTTGAAACATTTTCTTCCTCTGGATATTTATTAAATAGTTCCAAATCATCAATTATATTTAATGTTTGAAGCTCAATAAATGTATTTTTTTCTTTAGATTTCAGCACAGTCTCATTTATAAGTACTAAACCCAATTTGTATTTCTCATCCATGTCTTGTCTTCTATCTCTTTTTCAAAAGCCTCATTCAATTGTTTGGCTGTAACCTTACTACATGCTGGGAAGCATTTATGTGCCAATCTATTGTTTTAATTTATCCGGCCCTAGTATTCCTCCTTATCAGTACGATTTAATCTCATGATGAGTGTAAACTCGTACAAGGAGAAAAATGGGCAGCTTTTCATCCTCTAAACAAAACCACAGTTCCTTCTCGTCGATAGAGACAACCCTTTGTGATAACAAGTTGTGAATTAGTTGGGCAGATATTTTGATGTTCCCGATGTCGTATAGTTTACCAAAGCACGACTTCAAGAACATATCTCTATGGATGTCATCTAATGCATTATAACTTTCTCCACATTTAACACGTTAGAACGTGTTGTAACCTTCGCATCATGGCGATCACCAATGTTGTATATGTAATTCGTTCTAGAAATAGCACGAAACTATTAGTAACTCAATTGAAGTAAAAGTATGTAGATGAAATATGGAATTAATTAATAAGACAAATGAGCAAAAGAAAACTTCAAAAGTCCAGTATGATAATGAGTACAACTACTCCAGACATCATCGAGCTTACATAATTAACTTTACTATCAGTCTAATAACTGAAAACAAAATCTAATCAATCCTATGGACTAATCAATAAGGCATCCTACAAGTTGGTGCCTTCAAAAATTGCTATCCCAGTAGAACACTTGTGTGAAGAGGAGCCTTCGATTTTCATGCTACAAAAATAGGTTGCTTCATATTATAAAAAGAGTGAGCAATGTTGACTTACTGCAGGGTAGTTTTAATAAATTCAAAAGTTCGATTTTTTTACCAAATCAAGTAAAAAAGGGCAAAACTGGTATGTGAGTTTTCAAAGGCAGATCAAAACCTGCAACACCCAAGAAAAACCAAACCGAGTAAAACTTCAAGCAAGTTTCAAAATTCTAAACAAATTCAAACAGCACTAAACTTTTAAAGCTGAAATTGAATATCACCAAAGATATGCTCCAAGGAACTGGGCAAACTATGCATTTTACTGTAAAGAACCACTTCAAAGCTGGAAAAGACTAAGCAACCCTGCAAGGACCAAACACAATTTTGACAGATTTTGTAAAATATCTTAGCTGGCCGAACTGAAATGCTGCCTGGCTTTCAACCAAGTAGCTGCATGGCAATCAAACAGCAATAGGAACAAATTGAAATGCCGCCTGGCCTTCAAGCAAGTAGTTGGGCCGAAACTAAGGTGCTACTTGGCATTCAAACAAGCAGGCGGCTGGACTGAGGTGCCTTCCTGGAGTTAAACGAAACAGGCAGCTGAACTGTAAGGAGTCAAAACAAGTAGATGGACAAAATCTATTCTTCCTAATGAGGAGATGTAATGAAGAAAACACCCAACCACCTGGTTTTGGAAGAACACATCAAACCAGCCTTGAAAGTGCCCCTATTTTTTAAAACGGTCTTGTCTATAAACCTTCAGGAAAATTGGGCATTTCTCATCTAATCTTACACATTAGAATTTCTCATAACAAGAACATAAAATTGTACATTTCCAGTAACTAAAATTACAAAACCTTGCGGAAAAAAAATTCTTAACAAATCTATGTATCTTATGCAATCGAATAGTGAATAAAATAAATATAAAACATATTTTCTTCTAGACACGGACATAAATCTATTGAGTAGTAAACTTGATTTTTGGATTAAATAATATGGGTTTAAAGATTTTGCTTATAGGCTCAAATCAATTAAAAAGCCCAACATGCCTAGTATTTCTAGAAACATTATCAGAAAAATCTATATAAATATCTACTAGAAAAATTTATATAAATATCTAAGTAAGATATGTGGTCTTATAAAAAATATTTAGAGAATTCTAGGAAAATATCTTGTACAAATGTGTGGTCTAGGTGTTTCTAGAAAATTGTGTGGACTAGAAGCTTCTTGTAAACACAATATAAAGGGGTAGTGTCCTCCATTTTGTAACAAGTCAAAAAATGTGTAAAGTCTTGAAGTTGAGAAATACAAGTTTCATTTTGTTCACTTCACTCTTCCTATTAGTGTTGTCCTCTTTAAAAGCCTTAGCCAATCCAAATTGGTAAACCCTTCCTTCCTCTAACAAACTTACATCAGAGCCCTAAGGTTCTTGTGAAAAAGGGGCAAGTGGGATGATTCCTTTTGAACTATCCCAACTCAACAAGGATAACTACAACAATTAGAGTATAAGAATGAAAGCATTGCTCAGGTCGCAAGATGCATGGAGATCGTAGAGAAAGGCTACACGAAGCTACAAGATGAGGTTGCTCTATCCCAAGCACAAGAGGATAGTTTGAAGATGCAAGGAAAAAGGACAAGAAGGCTCTCACCCTCATCTATCAAGCGTTAGATGAAGGTATGTTCGAGAAAGTAGCTTGTGCTATTACAAGTAAGGAAGCATGAGAGATCTTGCAAAACTCCCGCAAAGGATTTGAGAAGGTGAAAAATGTTCGACTTCAAACACTTCGAGGTGAGTTTGAAGCTTTACATATGAAAGAATCGGAATCAATTTTTGATTACTTCGCTAGAGTATTGGCTATTGTGAATCAATTAAAGAGGGATGGAGAAAAGTTGAACGACACTCGAGTAATTGAGAAGATACTTAGGTCTTTAGATTCTAAATTTGAGTACATAGTTGTAGCCATTGAGGAATCTAAAGATCTAGACAGTATGAATGTCGATTAACTCATGGGATCTTTACAAGCCCATGAGGAAAGATTAAAGAAGAAGGTGAAAGAAGAGTCATTAGAGCAAGCTCTTCAAACAAAGCTCATTTTGAATGCAGGTGAAGGAAGGTTCAGCAGTAGAAGAAGACAAAGAGAAAGAGGACAAGGCCAAGATCGAGGAAGAAGTGCATTCTACAAAGAGGAAACAAGACAAAGCTCATTTTCCACCAGAGGTCGTGGAAGAGGAAAAGGTACGAGGCAAGATGAAGGGCCAAGGTATGACAAATCTCAAATTAAATGTTACAATTGTCAAAAACTTGGTCATTATGCTTCAGAATGTAGAAATCTCACTAATCAAGTTGAGGCGAAAGCTAACTACACTTGTCAGGAAAGTAAAGTGGATCCTGCACTACCGTTGGCTTACAAAGGTGAAGAGAGCAAAGAAAAG